TCTCTCTCTCTCTCTCTCTCTCTGTCTCTCTCTCCCAAAATAAAATAAATTAAAAAAAAAAAAGTTACAATAGAGCTGAGCCCCAGAAGCCAAGGATGCTCTAACGCTATGCTAAACAGTTTCCTGTACAAATACTAGTAAAGGTATTATGAATGAGGTGCAGGTGATAGAGGCTTCTAGCTTTCTTCCACCGTGAACTTTCCTCTCCTTCCTTATGACAGAATCAGAGTGGTTGGCTGGACATTTCCAGACTTCCATTGTAGCTAGGTGAGGCTCCCATTTAAGTGCTGGCTGGTGAGCTATAAGCTGGATTACTGTGGGACTTACAGGAAGGGAGCTTGTATACCTTTCTTTACTTCCTGCTGCCCAGACCCTAGCTGTGATGACTGGAACTGCAGCAGCCGTTCTGCATCATGAGGTCACCAATCCCACCATGGAGATGGCTGCAGAGTGAGCTGGAAAGACGTGCCCTGAACGACTTGGGGAGGCCACCCTTACCAGTCCACTCTCCATTTTCCTTGTAGTGGAAAAAGCAGTACAACTCATGCTGTTATCGTTTTCTATTGGCTGCAACAGAACCCTGTCATGTTGCAATGCAACCTGTCATGGGATGACTGCGCTGTATTTTGCAGACGAGGAGAAAGGGAGGGTCAGAGATGTGCATTTGACTTCACAGAGGTCACCTAGCTAGGGAGTGGGCACCTTTCCCAGGATGATCTCCAGTGTTTGTGTCTCTGCCGTGTCTCCTGCCCCGGTCTGCCTAGTTTGTTGCCCATTACCCGTGTCTGTGCAAAGTAGACATGTGACACTTACTCAAATTTAAGGTCTCCTGAAAGCATCAGGTTTCCATTGTGCTTTACTGCTGTCCACAAAGAGGGGGTCCTGAGCACAGGGTGAGTGACAGAACCCTCGGAGACCTTGTGCACGTATGCACACACTTACCAACATTCTGGCCTCCTTCCGTGCTCATCACAGATGCTCTTTCAGCCTGAGAGCCTCCCACAGTTTCTGTAGGATTTGTAGGCCAGCTTGCTTGCTGGAATCTTTCCATTTTTAGCCAAACACAAACTTTGATTTAAATGCAGCATTTGCCAGTGGGTGTGAGCTTTTCCTATGACTTAACTTACAGAAAAAAATCCCATCGTGCTGAAAACACGTCTCCTGTTCTAGGTTTTAGTGTTTTCGTGGAAGTCAGGTCTTGATTGGTTGGCGGGATTTGGTGGTTTTTCTGAAGTGACTGAGGTGACAGCAGCAGCAGGGGGCAGAGCAGTGCCCTGTGGTGGCGTGGCCTGGTGAGTATACCGTGTGGCCCACTTGTGCGTTCTCGCTCTCTCTCTCTCAAAAATAAGCATTAAAAAAAAATGTTTCATACTTTCGTAAGGCAGAAGATTAACTTAATAGACAGTATAATTCCTTCCTAACCTGTCTAGTAGTTATTTGACATAGTCTGATGTCTACTTCCTTTTCCTAATGTTTTTTATTTTTTTTTATTTTTTTAATGTTTATTTATTTATTTTTTTTGACACAGAGAAAGAAACAGAGCATGAGAGGAGAAGAGACAGAGAGAGAGGGAGACACAGAATCCGAAGAGACTCCAGGCTCTGAGCTATCGGCACAGAGCCCGACGCGGGGGTTCAAGCTCACGAACCTTGAGATCGTGACCTGAGCCCAAGTCGGACACTTAACCTTCTGAACCACCCAGGCTCCCCTTCCCTAATTTTTTTTAAAAGTTACTTGTTTATTTAGAGAGAAAGAGAGGGAGAGAATCCCAAGCAGGATCCACACTGTCAGCACAGAGCCTAATGCAGGTTTGAACTCACGAACCATGAGATCATGACCTGAGCCAAAGTCAGATTCTTAACTGGATGAGCCACCCAGGAGCCCCTTTGCTAATTTTTTTTAAAAGTTATTTGTTTATTTAGAGAGAAAGAGAGGGAGAGAATCCCAAGCAAGCTCCACACTGTCAGCACAGAGCCTAATGCACGGTTTGAACTCATGAACCATGAGATCATGACCTGAGCCAAAGTCAGACTCTTAACAGAATGAGCCACCAGGAGCCCCTTCCCTAATTTTTTTAAAAGTTATTTGTTTGTTTGTTTGTTTATTTATTTAGAGAGAAAGAGAGGGAGAGAATCCCAAGCAGGCTGGGCTCCATGCCATCAGCACAGAGCCTAATGCACGGTTTGAACTCACGAACCATGAGATCATGACCTGAGCCAAAGTCAGACTCTTAACAGAATGAGCCACCCAGGAGCCCCTTCCCTAATTTTTTTAAAAGTTATTTGTTTGTTTGTTTGTTTGTTTATTTATTTAGAGAGAAAGAGAGGGAGAGAATCCCAAGCAGTCTGGGCTCCACGCCGTCAGCACAGAGCCTAATGCAGGGTTTGAACTCACAAACCATGAGATCATGACCTGAGCTAAAGTCGGACTCTTAACTGGATGAGCCACCCAGGAGCCCCTTCCCTAACTTTTTTAAAGTTCTTGTAGGTCTCCTGGCTTCCTCTTCTAAGACCTGTTTTTAGTACCCTGTTTATGGTAGATAGTCATTAGCCGCTGAATAAATGAATGAAGAACAGAAACATATTGAAGGTCAGACTTGTATTTCTTACTCAGGAATCTTCAGTCAGCATATCTGGCCTCTGAGTGTGCATCCTCAGAAAACGCCACGTTTTCACAATTCTTGACATCAATTTGGAACAAGCATGAGCATTTTCAAGAGGAGGTCTGAGCTAACAAGTTGTCTGGTTTGGTTTTTTAAGTGATAGCATTAGCATTGGCAATGGCCTAATTGGTCATAATAACAGAAGAAGATCATCTCTAGAACTGATGGTATGCACATCACAAGACAAGCTGTAGGGTGTTTTTTTTTTTTTTTCTTTTTTCTTGTCTGAATTCGAATTCAGGCAATATTTTGACTGTGTATTATCTAGAGAAAATTTAATTGAATTATTCTAGTCTACTGAGCATTTTGTATGGGATGTGGATTATTAATTCTTTCATTACTGACATATTTGTGGGAAAGACCGTCGTGGAATACTGTTACTACGTATTTGTGTGTAACTACTACCATAATTCTCCCACGTCTATTTCTTCATGACTTAGACGTTTCACACAGATAGGTGGTTCAGTCACCAACACAGTCAACAGTAAGTGGTAACTGGCCTGGCGACCGGACAGTTTGGGCTTGACGGGAATCTGGATATCAAGTCAGTGATTCGGACAGAGAAGGTCTTAGTTTTCAGCAACATCCTAAAAGTTTTTGCACTGTCGGTTTGGAAAAACATGTTAGTGTTCCAGGGAATATTTTTTTTTTATATAAATTTTTTTTTAATGTTTATTTATTTTTGGGACAGAGAGAGACAGAGCATGAATGGGGGAGGGGCAGAGAGAGAGGGAGACACAGAATCGGAAGCAGGCTCCAGGCGCCGAGCCATCAGCCCAGAGCCTGACGCGGGGCTCGAACTCACGGACCGCGAGATCGTGACCTGAGCCGAAGTCGGCCGCTTAACCGACTGAGCCACCCAGGCGCCCCTGAAAGTTTTTAAACAATTGGAGAGGTTTCCTGATTTCTGTCAGCTTCTCATTCTATGGGTAAATGATCTGTGTAGAAAGATTTAAAAAATCACCCATCGGATTAGTCCCCATAAACAGTAATTGAAGAGCACAGAAGAGGCTTCGATGATATTACAAGGAAGGAGTCCTGTTGAAAAATCTGTGTTTATCTGCTCCACGTGGGACGTGTCTCATGGACATGTGCCGACACGGGCTGTTTCTTTCCACAGAAGTGGGTGGATGGAGGCCTCACCAACGGCCTTCCCATCCTCCCTGTCGGCCGGACGGTGACCATCTCACCCTTCAGTGGACGACTGGACATCTCCCCGCAGGACAAAGGGCAGTTGAATGTGTACGTTAATGTCGCCAAACAGGACATGATGGTGAGTGATGTGTCCAGTGATATTTGAAGTCACCTGCCTAAGAACTTCCACACGCTTCCAAAATGTTGGAAGCTCGTTGATAATGTTACGTACAAACTGGGTGTTCTCAGTAATATGGTTTTTTACTAGTTCCCAATACATGTTATGCATACGGACGTGAGTATGCAGACCTGTCACCATTTACTGTCCGTTTGTGAAAAGTTCTTCTCTCTTCACTTCTTCAGGTCAGTAAACTAGTGGGAGAATTTCAGGGCAAGTTTAAATTAGATCGTTTATTGGTTTAAAAACATGGTGATAATTAAGTGTCACAAAGTATTGGAGGAAAACTCGACTGAAGAACTTACATATTGACTTCCTTAACCTCGTCTAATCGTTCTCACCCCGAGGTGATATTACACTTAGGAGACACTGGCAATGCCTGGACACATTTGCTTCTCACATCTGCTAGGCACTCCTGGCATCCAGGGGGTAGAGGTCAGGACTGGTGCCCAACATCCCGTGATGCGCAGACAGCCCCCACAACACACAAGTATGTGTCCCCAAGCACAAGCATCAAGACCGAGAAGACCCTCATCTAGCCTGTGGGTGAAGTTAACCTTTCAAGTTGGATTTTTCTCCTACAGACTTTTTAAGCCCCTAATTGTACCTGTGATAAGAAATCTCGGGTTACATGTCCCTGTACTGTAATGTCTCATAGCTTCAATTTGTCTTTCTGTTCTAGCTGTCTGTGGCTAACTTGGTGAGGCTGAACCAAGCCCTTTTTCCACCAAGCAAGAGGAAAATGGAATCTCTGTATCAACATGGCTTTGGTGACGCCATTAAGTTTTTACTTAAAGAAAATTGGTTTGAATAGAAAGCTTCAAAGTTTATAATGCAAAACAGATTTCACGCCTTTTTTTTTCTCATTTTTATCCACATGGCTTTTGATGGATGTTTCTAATTAAATCCCTTTTTTAAAAATTTTTTTTTCAACGTTTATTTATTTTTGGGACAGAGAGAGACAGAGCATGAACGGGGGAGGGGCAGAGAGAGAGGGAGACACAGAATCGGAAACAGGCTCCAGGTTCTGAGCCATCAGCCCAGAGCCTGACGCGGGGCTTGAACTCACGGACCGCGAGATCGTGACCTGGCTGAAGTCGGACGCTTAACCGACTGCGCCACCCAGGCACCCCATTAAATCCCTTTTTTAAAAAGCCTATCAGGATTCTTGATTACTAGTTTTCGTGTCCTTTGAAAGATTTAGAAGGGTCAGCAATTTGGATAAACCATGGAATGTTGAAACAGGACCACCACCAATGCTGTCTTCCTACACAGAATGTGGCTGCATGTTTTTGCGGTGAAACACACGGGCGTTTCTGTGACATGCCAGTGTCACCAGGGTTGGAGGAGCAAAGGTTTGCTTCTCACGGGTGGACGTGATTGTGCCTGGTTGAGGGTGGATGGGACACGGTAGCCCAGAGGCCCAGATTTGGACCCTAGGTAGGGTTTCCTCGTTCTTCAGTAGAGGTTTATTCCATCCCCACCTTCCTCCTTTTAAACCCCAACTCCCCAGCTAACGTGATTATCAGTCTGTCTTGATGCTTCTCGGTTATGAACCCGGAGCTGCCATTAATAATTCTCTCTCTCCTTATCTCTGTATCTCTCAATCTCCTTCTGCATACATACTGATGTCTCGCCCTCTTGCCCCGTCTGTTCCTGCAAGGCCATACCTCACTGGATGTTTAGCCATCAGTCAATGGACTGGATGTATCTACTCTAGAAACGTAGATAATATACTACTAAATATGAAGCACCAATTCAAGCACGTAGCCTAGTAAATAAGAAATAAATCCAAAGTAATCATTCATTATTTCAAATCATGTTCTACTGATTCTAGGCCTTCTATTGTTTGAGTGGCTACCCTATCACATTGAAGACTTGTCTGTGGGTTTACACTAATTCATGGACACTGTGTGCAATCTTAAATCTGTTTTTATGGGGCTCTGCGAAGCATAAACTCTTAATTACCAAGAGGCAGTTAGAAACAAACCAGCTTCAGTGCATGTTTTAGCTGTTACGCATTTCTCTTTTACCACTTTAACCCTTTCTTAAAATCAGTTTTATGGCTCTTAAAAGCCCCAGATACACAATTTTTAGCACATAGCACCAACTGTTGCTTCTTTTCTTACGACTTAGGTAGAGACCCGCTACAGAACAGCGATACTCCTTGGAGTACGCGTCTCTTGTTACTTTAGTCTTCCGAGTTGGGCAGAGACCCGCTACAGAACAGCGATACTCCTTGAGTGTCTCCTGTTAGCCTGGTCTTTGAGTTGGGTCGAGACCTTCTACACAGAACAGCGATACTCCTTGATGGCGTCTCTTGTTTGCCTGGATGGGCAGACACCGCTACAGAACAGAAGATACTCCTTGGAGGCTCTGGCGTCTCTTGTTGCTTTAGTCTTCCGAGGTTGTCTGGGCACAGAACACCACAAGTTTCTTGATACTCCTTGGAGTACGCGTCTCTTGTTGCTTTAGTCTTCCGAGTTGGGCAGACACCCGCTACAGAACAGCGATACTCCTTGGAGTACGCGTCTCTTGTTGCTTTAGTCTTCTAGTTGCTAGACCACAGAACAGCGATACTCCTTGAGCAGCCGTCTCTTATTTTCTTTAATTTCCGAGTTGGTAGAGACCGACAGAACAGCCATACAGACATGACTCTTGAGTACGCCGTCTCTTGTTGCTTAGTCTCCCGAGTTGGGCAGAGACCCTACAGAACAGCTTATTACTCACTTGGAGTACTGCGTCTTAGTTGCTTTAGTCTTCCTGAAGGTGGGCGAGACCATACAGGGCATTCAGCCATACTCCTTGGAGTGCCGGGGCTCTCTTATTCCAGTTGGGCAGACACCCGCTACAGAACAGCGATACTCCTTGGAGTACGCGTCTCTTGTTGCTTTAGTCTTCCGAGTTAGGCCGAGACCCGCTACAGAATAGGGATACTCCTTGGAGTACGTGTCTCTTGTTACTTTAGAAAACAAGTAGTTCTCTCTTAGTCTGTTGTTTTATAAGTGACATGACGATTTTCAGTTCAATGTCACATCTGTTCATTCACCAGATTTTCCCCTTTTTCATTTTACATGAACATCCCATTTGTATGGTATTTCAGTAGATTCTTTAGGATGCCTCCCGGAAGCAAAGACAGATCTTGGCGTGTTAGACTTCTAAGCTACCAACCCTACCACTTAGGTCTTGGAGCATGTTGGTGGACAGTACTTTCCTTGAGGAACACAGTGAGATCCCGGACAGATGGGTGTGCAGGCCAGTAGCCTTCCACCGGGAGGGAAATGTGGAGGCAGGACACTGTGCAAAGTAATTTGTGTGTGCTGGGGTGCCACACAGGGCCCCCGTGTGAAGCAGGTCACAGGGCAGGCTCTGTCGTGCCCCGAAGGTGCCCTCACGCATCTCTGATGATTGGAAACCAGGCGCTCCCAGCAGGCTCTGCAACAGGATCGACATCAGTATTTGGAAGGGCTGTGGCACTGGTGTGTGGAAAGTCTGAGGAGACGCTCAGAGCCAGATCCTGGTATGTTTGCAGGGTAATTACTGTGATCGTCGCCCTGATAAGCCCCCGGTTCCCTGTTGGGGCCAGATTCCTTGTGCCTCTGAATCTGTCATTTAAAATTTCATTAGTCTTTCTGTTCTCTTCAGTAACACTCTTTCCTTTGTAACTATGGGAACCCGCTGTTTCCATTGACAATTAGAGAAACTAGGTTTGGGTTTGAAGTTAAATAATACTCTAAAGCAGCAAGCAGCGTATTAAAAAAAAAAAAAAAAAAAAAAA